CAAAAAGTCATAAACTTATTGCACTTTTTTTAATTCAGTCCTAAAATTTTTAATTTTATTAATTGAGTCCTCAACCTTTTCGCATTTTGCCAATTGAGTCCATTTAGCTAATTTTTATCTGAAATCGCTGATATGGACGCTAGCCGTGCTATATGGCACGATCATCGCTAACGTGAATAATTTTTAATAATTTTTTAATAATTTTCAAATTGTTTATTTATTTTATTTTTTTTCCTCTCTTCTTCGTCCTCTAGCCGGTTGCCGGGTCTAGGTGATGGCCGGAGATCGGCCAAAGGCAACCATCGCCGAGGGTTGCCCTCGCCGACTACGAGGCGAGGGCTTGCCCGAGGCGGCAAGGCCTGCCGGGCCGGTGAGGCTACCCTTGTCATATCCCGGCGAGGGTGATCTCGCTTGAGGTCAGCGAGGGTTACCGGCTCCTGGCCGGGGTCCAGCGACCCCCGCTAACCATTCCCCCACCCCATCGCTGGCCGGAGCCCAGTGACCCCTGCCTGGTTCTAACTTCTTCTTTTTAAAAATTTTAGTTTATTTTTTGTTGACACCTAAATTTTGACTAACCATTTAGTGATTAATTGCATAGAAAATTAGGGATTAAATTTTAACCCCTAAACAAAAATATCAAAATCGCATAGCATATAGTTTAGGTTCATATAGATTAACTGCATTCCACATCGAACCGGCTGTGGCAAGTGAACTGAAAATCCATCGCGCAAACCGAGCTCGAGCACTGAACGAAACTCGGCTCACTCGGAAGACGGGGGCCGAAAATCACAAGTCTAAAAGACCTTGGTTGTCTTAATTTGAGCTTAAATCAGCCCATTAAAATTAAATTAAATGATAAAGCCTAAGTTTAAGCCCATTAGGACTAGGAAGCGCACGAGCGACACACGTAAGCGAGAGCAAGGAGCAAGAGAGAGAGTCGGCTGCGCACGTGTGCAACCACCGCGTTCGCGCCGCCCCTCCGCTGCGTCCGCTCCGCCCCACCGTTGTGCCTGCATCGCCCGTGCCTAGTCCGAGCCCAACCAACGCTCCAGCTGCTGCTGCCGATCCATCGCCCGTCCCCTCGTTGCTGCACCAGTCCGCATCCGCAAGCCTTCAGGTTCCAGGGCTTTATTCACAGAGCACGGGACTTTCCAGTGGCATCCCTCCATCACAAGTTGAGGTTCCCCAAGTGGCTGTCCTTGCGACGTGCCAAGCCCAGTAATTGACACAAGAAGCAAAGCTGAAGTGCAATAGCTGGTGAATTGTTCTATTGCTGAAGGAGACGAACCAAGGTGAAATTGGGAGACCAAAGGAAAAAAGACAAAAAGAGGGATTTTGGTGGCTGGAAAGGATTATATTCACAGAGGCATCAACTTCTACGTTCGGAGAAAGGACACGCACGAAGATTTCCGTTCTCGTGCATCTCCGTGCTTTCTTTCATTGTGCTATTGAGTTTCATGTCCATTGTGCCCAACCACGTGGTCGTGAATTCCATCGTTGTTGCAAGTGTCTCTGTCCTGTAGGTTTTCTGAGACCACACTGCGCCCCCGGTTGACCAGAACACCACCGCGAGAACCGCCGTCGTCGCCGCCGGTCCACCACCGTCGGCCGTCCCGTGATCCGCAAACCCGATTTGGCATCAAGCTCGAATTTGGAAGTTATCCGTAAATTAGGTAAGAAACTTTATCCGATATTGTTTCAAATATTTAAATTCCTAATTCGAGTGATTTTGTTATCTTTGGTTGGTTAGTAGATATATTTGAATGATGCATGGCTTATTCGCAAGATTTCAAAAAAATACACTAACGTGTCGGGACGACTATTCGATCTCAACCATGAGATACGATACTCGGTGGCACGGAAAATCTTTATCCTATCCATAACTATTTGGATACGATAATAGATTTTATTTTGTTCCCAAATTCAAACGAATTGCCTTCCATCAATATCCATAACCACATGGATATGATCGTCGGTTCGTATCGTTTCCTTAATTCAAAACAAATCTTGTGGATTGCGTGGACTGGTTTGGATCGTTGTGATTATCTATCTATTTGATTTATTTCTTTTAAAAAGAAAATTCCAAAAAAAAGATTAGTTAGGATTTGAATTGATTTTATTAGAAGATAATGATGCATGTTTAGGATAGGTTTAGAATAACTTTCTTTGAACAAGTCGATAGGATAACTTTTTAATTTAAATTAGGAATTAGAGTAATTTATTTCCTAGTTTAATTTAGATATTATCCCGATCTCGACGGTTCATTTTAGGGTAATTCTTGATTTCGAATTTTCATAAAAATACCAAAAAGAAGCCACTTTAGGATAGATTAAATTATCTTTTTTTTTAGAATAGATTGCATGTTAATTTAGGCATTTTTTTAATCCCGAATTTCATTGAAAAAATACCAAAAATAAATCATTTGTCCGTCATTAATTAGGTCACGTCGTCGCATGACATATAGTTTGCATGTTAGGCTGCATTAATCGCGTGTTAATTTTTGCACGTCATTACATATAGGTTAGCTTTCATTTAAATAAGTGAAAATCCAAAAAATATTGAGTGAATTGCTTGTTAATTAGAAAAAATATTAGGATTGATGATGTGATTTTCTAGCTAACAATGCAGATGCTTACGTTGCTTCGAGGTAAGTAATTCTCCCAATCTTGCAATTTATTTAATGTTTTGATTATTGGGTGTTACTTTGGTGGTTTGCGCACCCGCATGATCACCTCACATGCTAGTGACTAAGTTGAAATGAATCCAAACTGTCTGCCAAAACATTTTTTGAAAAGAAAAGGTACCGAAAGGGCGTTAGACTAGATCTAGCGTAACCAAGTCCCCGAGCTTAGAATCTCTGGTTCGTAGGAATAAAATATATCTCCCTATGTTTTATTTAGGTTTCTAATCGACCTATCATAAATAGATTAGTGGCGACTCCAAGTATGAAAACTTTTGCATGTTAAAAACTTAAACCCTAAGTTGCGAATTGGTAGAGCTTGGGAGGGCCCGAGTTAGGCTTAGTCTTAATAATCCATTAGCCTGAGAGAAATTTCAGGTCGCGACATTTTTTAATTTAATTTAAATCAAATTTGTATTAAAATCAAATTTGGATTAAAATGGTGTCGTTTTAGCAATGTCATCGCCACGAATGATAGCGAAAATAATAGAAAAACCACGTCATCATTTTTGTAAGTCAAGTTGGACGGAGTTAACGGAAGGATTCAATTGCATCAATTTGACAAGTTTTAGGACTTAATTATACTTTTTGCAAGTTTTATTATTCAACTGCACTTTCGTGATAAGTTTTAGGATTTTCAGTGAACATATCCTATCAGATAATTAGGTGTAATTTGGTCAAAATTCTTCACAAAGCATGTTTTTTTTCCAATCATTGAATCAAATATGCCCAAGAGGCCTGCAAATACCAACACACATCCACGTTTAGCAGCCCTCCCGTCGAAATGAAAAATTCCAAGAAAGGAGTTTGTTGGATTGCCAAGCAAGCACAAACGGTCGCTCTCGCAAAGTGGCGCTTGCGCTTGACTCGGATTTTCCTAAACCATACTGATCACAACTTAAATTCTTCCATTAATTATGAAAATTGGTCTTACTTTCGGAGCCACAACTAACCTATTAAAGGCTGGTTAGGAGTCAAGTAAAATGCGAGAGACTGATTTACGTTTGCGAACCAAAAATTTTGGTATGGGGATTTAATCACGCTAAAGATTTATCTAACGCCCGAAATAAGTGCATTTTCGCTTTTTGAAAATATTTGTTCATGCAATCTCGTTCATTTCTTAAAGTCTTAAGCGCATATGTCTACATGTCCATCGGCAATCAAACTCATATAACAAACTTCGAACAAATATTAACAATCAAATAAATAAGAGAGGCAATTCCTAAACTAAATGGTGAATATAAATATTAAACCAATTGAAATGAGATTGGATCAAGAGTATTCCCAAGATGCAATTACTGCCTAAACGCCACACCGATTTTTTTTTTCTTTTCATCTTCTTCACTTATCCTATGATCCGGATCGGCATTGGAGCCACCATGATGAACTGGCCGGTTCTCGGGTTGAACTAGGATTGTCGCTCACCCCTATTACCGGGGTCGATGGTGCTTGGACATATCGGGGCGGGCACAGGTTGGGGTGACAAAAGAGTTACAGGTATAAATAGGCCATGTTTGACATAGAACTAAAACAATCTGTCTACACCGGCCCCAAGCTGTAAAAGATGTTTTTTTGTTTGGGTTATGAAAACCAAGAAAATACACAGACAGTGCAAAAATAGTTCTTGGTTGGGCTAGGCCGGAAGATGGAGCCACTTCCACTTGCCAGCCCAAAAGGGTTTTAAAAAACATAAAGCAGCCGTTTCATGTATCAGAGAAATAAACAACGGCCACTATGGAAGAAGTAGCCATTTTCTACTTTGTCTTGCCCATATCTGTTCTCTCCAGATCTTGATCCTCAAACCCCCCCCCTCTTGCCTTTCTACAAAGACAAGTTCTCCATACGTTTTGGTTGGAGGCTGCAGTCAGAAACTGCTGGTTTCTTTAAGCTAGATCACATGGACAATTGACTCTGTGAAATGCGGTCGATGTCCTTTTAAATTCGTACCTCATTATGTGAATGTACATAAATCTTTGGTACTCTGGAAAAGGTCAACTGTGATAGCATCTACTCCGGATAGAATTCATACTGATGCTCAAGATAGCTTCGCGCATCGAATGGTCCAGCAATCATTCGGTGTCGCTCGGATCAATTTGGAGTTTGTTTTATCAGCTCATCACGTAATTCAAGTGGTTTTTCACGAAGGGGAACGGAACACTGCTTTCTGGTGATCTGAGATCACTATGATCACCTACGTCCCTCCAAAAGTCAACCAATCTTGCATTCATTGTCATTCTTCTTGGCTTTAATTAAGTTCTGAAAGGACGTCCCCAATCAATCTTTTTCCTGCTGTAACCTCACAACAACCAGGGAAACAATATCCTAAAATCTAAAAAGCCTGTCTTATTCATTTGGTACCCATTACAGATGGCAAAAAATTGAATATAAAAAGACATAATCAATTGATTATTCACACTGATTGAAGCACCGTACTAGACACAAACAGGCCTGACAAAGAAACACTTGGCTTGTCCCATTCAAGTTGGGACTGGCTAACTTACAGGCTTCTAAAGAATTTCATTTGGGTCAGCTCTTTTGTCCCCCGTACCTGCCCCAGATAAAGCACAAAGAAATCAAACTAGGAAGCTAACTGTTCCATTCAGGTTTTTTCCAAGAAATTTATTTGCAGCCAATGATCATCTCTTGATTTTGGGAAGTGCAATCGAATTATACAGAACTGATCGAATCCAAAGTTTTCGATCTTTATTAATTTCAGGTACATTATCGATTGAAGATGAACTACTTGATGAACTGACAAAGAGGAAGATGCATTGCATTATTGCTGAACCACTGTACTTGGCCTCAGATGAGTCATGAACTTCATGGACCACAGAGATAAGAGCTTCCGAATCTTCACCTCATTCGAAAGTCTCCCACTTGGTGGTTACTACCACTGGATCCGAATTCCTTGGTGTTTGATGCGTCCCCGGTATCAGGCCTTCAAATTGCACCTTCTTCTTCTTGGCCTGCTTCGTTTTTGTCGGTTTGATAAATTGTCCAAGCGGACTCTTCAGTTTCAGCGCATCTAGCATTTCTATATGCTCCTGAATTTTGCTCACCTTCAATAGTTGAAGAGCAAATGAGCAGAAAATTAGTCCCTCGATAAATCAACATATACTTCAGTGTTCAAAATTGGGGGATGACTAGAGAGTTTGGATGCGTGGCAGATACCATTGGCAAAAGGCAAATGACCATCATATGAAAAGAACTTAAGAAATGTACCTGCAATCTTTTCTGTAAATTCAGATTTCCCTGAACTACAAGTGAATCCAATTTTATGTACAGTTTCATCAAGGCATCGGTAAGCTTCTCGACATCCATGCTTTCAACTTTCGCACCTTCGGAAGCCACCTTTTTCAAAGCCAATACCTGTAAAATCTCTCCAAAAAAAAGACCAGATGATCAGTCTCTATATCTTCTAATAAGGACAATCCTTTGAATTGAATATTACCTTCTCACTCATTTTGTCAAGTTCCGAGCTGATTCCTTCCAATGTCTTTGAAGCCTTCTCTATCCTCACCTTCTTCAACATCTCGAGGCATCGTCTTTCGCGGCCTAAAACGTCCTCGACCATAACAATCTTTGATCCATCTCTCACTCCTACTACATCGAGATATTGTTTTGAGCCTCTCTCTTTCTTCTTGTATATCAATTTCTGGTCCTCATGATGCAACCCAGTTGGCTCTGCCAACTTTTTCTTCAATTCCCCTATATTAATCACCAAAAAAGTAAAATAACACTTATTTCTACAGACAAAACCGAAACCTTTCCTTAGTTCAGAAAACGATGGCCCAGATTTTGCATCCAAAGGAAGGATTCCAGAGTGGGGAAATTTCACTTACCAAAGCTGGCTTGAGGGCTGATAAGAACCTCATGACATGCTGGGCCATGTTTGACTTTGACTCTGATGTTGGAGACCTGAGCTTGATTCTGGCGTTCCGTCTCAGAACTCGCCCTCATCTGCACCATCATGCCTCCTGGCCTGACCTCCCACACATCGCCACCCTCTTGAGCTGGATTATCGTGTCTGCCATGGACCGAGCTTCTTCTTCTCTCGACCCGCGAAGACATTCTTGCAGTGTGCTCTACGTTAAGAGGGTGAATGTTCTTGAACATAGTTTGGTCTAAGGATGACTATGGGAGAAGAAAGAAGCTTTGGCAATGATGAGATACAATGGAATGAGGGAACCCCAGTTGTCAGAAGCTGGCTGAGAAGAACGTGGCGTGAGAATTTGCATAGTCCAATCGAAGGAAAGCAAAAGGGCCATGGCTTGAAAGCGAAAGGTAATCTTTCGATTGAGAGAGAGAGAGAATTTAGAATTGCACAAGAAATATGTTTGGCAAAAAATCCAAGATGGACAGTCAATATTGGGAAGATGGGCACCCGGAACATGGATTAGAGATAGTTTGATGCATTTAAAGAAATAAATCGAAGGATATTATTCAAGCCAAAAACAGCCACGGGATATAAACTGCAATTTTTCAAGTGATGGATATTACTCCAAAATTGAATGCATTCTATAACATTTTGTTCGTAATATATAGAATTAAATAACACGGTTGCAGAATTTAATGTGTTTTCGTGTTGTGTCGGAAACTTCTAAAAGAAAACTAGTTTTTGTAAATTCTAAATAAATAAAAGGATGAAAAAATCACGTATAAATTATTTACACCAATTGCTAAATAGATTTTGCAGCAGAGTTTCAAAATCGTTGAAAAGGAAAAGTAGAGAGGAAAAGCTCGGGGTGCAGTTTCTTGTCGCATTTGTTAAGGCGCAAGATCAAAAACAGGTCAGTTAAGTCAATTCAGTTTTGTCAGGATTCTTCTAGCTGAGTCTCATAAATCCAAATTAACAAGAAAGCCCTTTCAAACCAACTTAACCAAGCACATAGAATGAGAAACCCTATTAATGTACAACAATATCTCCATTAGGGTAAAAGACAATAATTCTGGTGTAATTTTCTATTTTGAGAAATTTAATCCCTATGTTTAAAACTTTACTAATCTCTTTTTAGTGATACTATTTTCATACTTGTGATTATCATATTATAGTATATAATTTTCTTTGGATTGAATTTTTCCCTTGCTTTTTTTTTTTTTTTGTATGTGAGGACTTTGCTTAATAGGATTTGAGCAAATCCCAAGTGAGATTTTCTTTTCACTGAGTAAAAGAGTTACTCAGTTTCGTTGAAAATTTCTCTTGAAAGAGCAACGTTACCGTTAATTGATCGATTCTCTCTAAAAAAAATAATATCTTTAAAAAATGTTGATTGGCAATCATTACAAGCAAAAAGTATTTTTTTTTTATCTTCAATAGAGATGATTAGGCATAAATATTTGTTGATAATTAAAATATTTTATGTTGACTAATTTATCCTAAGCAATGCAAACAAATTCTTTTTGAAAAATTGTTTTTTTCAATAATTTATTTTCCTAAAAAGAAATGCATTGGCCAGCATGTTGAGCCAGCGAAAGTGGATGGAAAAATTGATTTTCTAAGATAGGAATAATCTTGTTGAGCTAAAGATTCACTTATATAGCTCTGTCGAATTATTTAGAACAATGGTCGCGTCAGTCTTCACTACGTTGTAGTTAAGAAAACTAATAATGAAAAAGAAACAGCCATCGACCCACAATGTAGAGGCTTAATTCCCCAAAAAAAAAAACGGTATCAATTTTACCTTAAGTGACAATTCCGGTCCAAACTGTTTTTTTGTCTAACGAAAAATCACCAACTTTCACTTAAATCTCAAATCTGGCCCGAACAATTTGAACATTTCACATCATATGGGCTAGATTTGGGATTTGAGTAAAAACTGGTATTTTTTATCGAGACAAAAAAAAAGTTCGAGGCAGAATTGTTACTCAAGGTAAAGTTGGTGTTTTCTTTTATTGGAATGAGCCCCAAGACTATATATCTTAAAGCAAAATCCAAAAGCCACTCCAACCTCAAACTTTTACCCAAAAAAGTTAAAAATCCATTAAAATCCCATACATATATGTAAGACAGATACCCCATGATCGCACATAATATAGACGAACAAAATAAATGGGCCTAAATGGGCTCAGCCCATTTACAGCCCAATCAGGGCTCAAACTCTCTTTCCGTCCTCCTCTTTCCTCTCCCTGGTCGCCGTCTTCCTCCTCCTCCTCCAGACGCTTCGAGCTCTTTGATCCGCTTCACCGACTCGGCAATCTCGGCTGTCTTGGAGCAGATCGCGCCGTCGGGAGCACCGGCACGAGACGAGGGGCGCCGTCGCTCGTACCAGCTAGGCTTGTGCTCGAGGAGCTTACTCTACGGTCGTCTTTAGCTTCGTCGCGCCGGAGCTCGAAGTTCCCAGGTTGGTGTTCTGTTTCAGCTTTTCCGCAGGCTCGTCGACGATGTGCTGCTACGAGGTCGTAAGCTAATGGGTAGTCTCTGGATTCATGTGAAGACGACTGGATATCTCTCGGTTAGTGCGGGGGGATTTGTACTGGCCCTGTCTCGGGGATGTTGGTATTAGTCGCATTGGATTTGTTCTGAATTGTTTGTTCATCAAGAAGATGTAGCGAGCAATCATCAAGACGAAACGAGCCGATTTCAGCTGTGCGTGGCTGGTTTTCAGGGGCTTTGAGGAGTTTGTCATTCATGAAAAAACTTCTGTCGATTGTGCTAGGAGTAAGACGAAAAGAAAATAGGAAAAACACAAAACGTTATGTCGAAGCACAAAGATTGTGCTTTAACATATCTTTTCACTGAAAAAGACTTTTTTTATGCACCATGAACGTTGTGTAAAAATCGACCCGTATGAAGGGGCTTGTGCCTTTGCTTGAGTTCATCGTTCAATTTCCATTCAAAAAGTCATGGGTCAGTCATATGTTTGTTCTTTACCTTATACTGCAGTCGAATTTGCCACTTCGTTTCATTGATTACAGTGAACCATCAAGTTTGACATCGAATGATGATGAGGCTAGTAGTTATGGAAAGACATGTGCATATTGAAACTACAAGGATTTACTGATTATGTTGGTCATATTTTTAGGGTCAGAAGATATTACCTTGTCTTAAGGCTTCGAGCCCATATGTAGATTTGTCCAAATTTTAGTGCAGCCTTCTGATCCTTTTAGAAATCATGTTGTTCTGCTCTTGTACTTCTGATCTTATTGTAATGGTTGGATGGCGATAGGGTAGGATGTCAAATTCATAATCTTCATTGGGTTAATCTGTTTACTCTATGTCTAGTGCAGAAGCCTTACATTAGTGGCTGTCGCTTGAATTATTAGGGAAAACCAGTGAAAAGACTGAAATGAGGAAGCCTAGCCCTAATGATGGAGCGGCGACTTCAAGCAAAAGAAAGTTTGATGATAGTGAAGAAAGTGAATTGTCTAACTCAGAAGATGTTAGTAAGCTGAAGTGACTGCCTATGCATCTGTGATAATACATATATGAAGTAACTGTTAATTCTAGGTCAAACTTCTAGTGCTAGGAAATAAATTGCTTTAAATTTTATCAGGAGGAGGAGATAGAGCGTGAGTTGGCAGATGTGACATTTGAGGAATTGCAGAAGGCTCGATCTGATGGTTCTCATTCGGTGTACAAAAAACCCAATGAAGAGAAAAAGCCTAAGAGGGCTAACAAAAATAGGTATTACTAGAATTTGGGATGCTCTGTGGTATGTGCATGTGCATCGAGTGTATTACAGATGTTTACTCGAGTTACCTTTTAAGGCCAATGGAAGCTAGTTGGAAGAAGCCCGTCGGGAGATTTAGAGAGGTCATCCAGGCTCCTAAGAAGGTCAGCTTTTGTTCTGCTGTCATCATTGCATATTGCAGTAAGCTATGTCCTTACTACGCATTGGTTGAGATACTTATAAATTGTGTTAATGTATTAGCTCCTGCAGCCTTTGATACCAATCTTGATATAGTTGCTAAAGTTTAATGGCTTGAGTTTGTCTCCTATATGTTTTCATTTTGGTTTTTCTGCTGTCTTCTTATTTACCTTATGCATTTGCTGTTGTTTCTGTCGTTGCTTCGTGATCTTTGCTTTATGGTCATCTAAATGAACATTTATCACCTATATAGTTAACTTGCATTACATGGAAGGGTGGATGGAACATTTTGAGCTTTTATAGCTTTAAGTTTATAGTCTTTCTTGCATTGCCGATGTATAGTTTGTTCTCATGTATGTTAGTTTATTCATTTGTTCTTGCTATTTGACTAGGTTATATTATGTTATTTCAAGGTTGTACGGGATCCTCGTTTTGAATCTCTATGTGGTGCACTGAATGTGGAGGGGTAAGCCTGCATTACTTCCTTTCCTCTTTTGATGTGTTACATGAAACTTCTTCCTTGAATTAGAGGATTTTATTTTGCTTATCCAGAGATTTTGTGGAAAGGCATCTTACTGTTAGTAAGGTCATCGTAACAGAGTAATACATTCGTCTACATCAATGACCATGGTTTGCCAGAAAAGGTTTTCGTTTCAATAAGCAAGAATACGTGATAATTATTTGCTTATTTGCTACTTTTGACCACCCAGTTGGTGTGGGTCATAACGCTGTTTCTTCACATTCAATATCTGTTGCTATTTTGCACCATCCCTTACGAGTGATTTTCATTGGGCCTTTAGTTTATGTCGAATGTAATGAAACATAAAAGCAGAACTGATTGATTACCTAATTGCAATGTCGATTGAACTTGTAGATGGTTTACAATATTGTTATTAGACCTTGCTTGGGAATGAAGGATTTTTGCAGGATGGCATAAAGAGGAAATAAAATTTGTCTTTGTGAGACAAATTATAGTTATAGATGCATTCTGAACAAGGTCGCTTGGTGTCTTATGATACGTATGCTTAGACTTTCTTCTGGGGCTGAATCATGTAGTGGATGCATTTCCAGAGTGCAAAGAAGTCGCATATGTGATCCTTCGTGAAAAAATACTAATACTTTTTCGCATAATTAACAAGAAATGAAATTTTTTACGTAGATATAGCAGGATTGCTTTTTTCTTGTTTTAGTTTCTGTAAAAGACGTAAGAATTCGAAAAATTTGAATGATTCTCAGCTGCAACTCAAGTACGTCTGGCATGTAAAATTTGAAATAGACTCTATACTCTGTCCCAACGTTCCTGTGATCATATTCATATGTCATGCTTTCATTAATTTTGACCATGTTATGATCTTCCTCAATGCTTTATCTTGCTTTGAGCAATGCTATACAATATCTTCACAAGCATTTCTGTGTTATAGGTTCAAGAAGAGATATGGTTTTCTTTATGAGAATGAGCTTCCTGCAGAAAGAAAGGTAGAATTTAACAGGCATTTGAGATGAAACTGTCAGTTTTGCAATGTCTTTATTTCATCTGATAAATTGGTCTTCTGGACATGCAGGAATTACAGAAGCAGTTAAAGAAATCAAATGACCCTAATGTCATTGATGAATTTAAAAGTCGAATTGCCTGGATTGTGAGTCCTTTGTTAAATGCAAAAATATAATGTTGCAGTAATACCGTTTTCTGGTGCATCCTGTTCATTCTTTTCCCTTCATATGGTGAGCCAACAGGACAAGCAATTGAAGTCAGAGACAGGAAAGCAAACAGAGGCTGCAATTCTCACTGAGCACAAAAAGAAAGAGAGAGAAGCTGCAAAGCAAGGGAAAAAACCATTTTACCTTAAGAAATGTACGTCTTCAGACTCTCCCATGGTCTGTGTGCACATGCACTTTTTCTGCCTTCTTATGATAGGGAATTTTGTGTCTGGATTTGGGGAAGGCATGATATTATTGTTAATGTTGACTGCCAAGCTGATTCAAGTTCAACATGCCTTAAAATGAGTATACAAAGCTACTTCTTTGGCAAATTATCTTGCAGATTAACTGTCCCCTCCATGTCCTTGGAAAGTTTAATCAGAGCGCATATTAATGTTGGTCAAAATTCCCATTGCTTTGACATACATAACAGTGTTGTGAAGTACTTCATCGATGATTGCATTGGAGGAAGATGCACAATGGTGCCGGAAGGTGGCAGAATGGGTCCATATAATTGTGGGCGTGATGGAGGCTAGTGGTTTAGATTCACGATGGACATGGACACGGGACACGTGCATATAAAAAAATAGTACCCTAATATATATAGCATCATTATCTTTCTTATGTCCAAAAAGGCACATCGTTTTGTTTTCCTCCTTGTATGCAGTCATTCTCATGCTACACATGCTTCTAAAACTAGATTGTCAGCGTCTGTCTTTGGATCTTGCTATGAATATGGTTAGTTCTAGTGGTTAGTTCTAGATCTGAACATATATCAGGATTCTGAATTTTTGTCTGATTCTTGCAGCTGAGATTCGTAAAAGAAGGCTTATTGAGAAGTATAATAGTCTCAAGGTATTTATTTTTCCCCGTCCTCAAAGAATATCCTTTGTGCTTTGAGAAGGCCATAATTGGTACATTGACTCGGTGGCTAATAACTTCTTTTGCTGATACGATCAGGCATCTGGAAAGGTGGAGGCCTTTATCGAGAAAAAGAGAAGGAAGAATGCTGCAAAAGAGCACAGATACGTGCCTTATCGCCGATCCGGCAACACCCCGCAAGAAAGCTAACGCCTGCAAGTTTGTCTGCCTACTTTATGTCATTGATTTAGTTACAAGTGGTTGCTGGCCCTACGGTTGTCTGGAGCATCATTTTTTTTCTTTTCTTTTTCCTTTTACCCTGTTTCGGGCATTTCGTGCTCGGAGCATCATCTTGAAAGCTGTAGCGTGAGATGTTGTAGAGGACATGTTATTTATAAAATTGTTTCATTGATTCAGAAGTTTACCCATGTACTGATTGAAAATGTGATGTAAGCAGTCCCCCAGAACAGCAAACATCAAGAAGAAATAACCAAAATCCTCCATGCGCACGATGTGGTCCAAGTGGGTGTAGGCTTTAACTCGACCGTTCCATTTGAGAAAGCGACACATTAGGTAGGATAGCGAGTGTAGTTACAATTTGAGTAATATCTTGCTGAAAAAAGGATACATTACTCCGAAACGTTGTCCTATTTGTTGATGTTGGACGACAAAACAATGCGTTTGGAAAAATTACGGGGTTTCTTGTCCAACTTTATTGAATCAAATAGAGTGCCTTAATAAAATAATGATATCTACGAAAAAAGTAAGTGCAACTACCAAACAGTTAAGGAAGAAATGTATCAAAAGATTGAAATGCGACCCATAGAGTAAATTTCTTTGAATCGTGTACACGCACTCAGATGTGCTATTGCACAGCAAAAAGACCAAATGAGAAGAGTTTTGTCAATATATATATATATATTTGTTCATTTAGAGCATTAGAATATTGAAGAGTGTGGGTTTTAGTGATCAAGATCAATAAACCATGAGTATTCCAAGTGGTGGATTATTCGAGAAATGGTGTATCATGTGACCTGCATAGTATACTTTGGACGCCATATACAAGCAACCATCCACATGTTCTATGTAAGTTGGATTCTTTCACCTTGTGTTGAGGCCAAGTTTTCAGTTCATTTTATCGATCATTGAATACTTTTGACTGGGGACGCATAAGGGACTCAAACTTACAAGCCCTCAGTATGAATGGCATTATCCCTAAGCTTTTGGTATCCGCTCATTTCGCATCGCATGTTACTATTCTCGACAATCAAACACAAAAAATTGTGTGTTATTGCGTGTGTATCAACAAAACATGCACGCCTAGTTCAAAAACAATAACTTTGGATTGCTTCGATAGCACCAAGTCAGCACGCTGCATGATATTATCTTTACACCCTCTCTCTCTCCCCTCCTCTCTGCGTGGGAATACTCTTCTTGTCCATGTGACTAAACTTGCAGAACCGATGTATATTTCAAGCTGATTCGACTTGGGAAATTGCTCGGAAGGTTCCTGCAGATTCACTTTATTTGTCATATTCATTGTTTAAGCAGCCTGTCAATATGGATGTTACACCTAATATCATTATATTGAAGAATTTCTCCTCCTTTGTCTGTTTTGGCCTACTAATTGCATCTCTCTCACTTCCAAACAAACATTGTGCCGCCCTTCTTCTTCACAAGCATTATCAATGCTTGATTCTCTATTTTCAGGAGATTTTAAAAATACTGGTAGAACAATGAAGCAAGTTTGGGGTATCCAAATTGAGTTATGATCATTAAACAATTGTTCTTTCAACATTGAGGTAGGCGTTTGAGAATAATATAATATCTCCAGAAGAGCAGTACGTTGCAGAAGCATTAGATTTAGCGTGTGCAATGCAAACATGCACTTGACTGGTACAACTATTTAGTTGACGAGAGACCTGTGTCTATTAAATTACTTGTTGCATTATCTATATATAATTTGAGATCCCAGAAATCCATCTTTCAGCTCTTTTTCTTGGCCAATTTCATCTGTTCAATAGAGCAAATGAATCATGTGCCGTAAACTCGTGGCTCTTACCGACTTAACTGAAGGAATCAACAATCCTCTCCTTCCCTTCTATGTTTCTCTGATCATCCTCCTCTTCATCCATAACCAATTCAAGGCTCGACCGCTCATTAAGTCGCCGGCGCTGCCTCTTCCACCAGGACCCCGTCCATGGCCAATCCTAGGCAATATGATGCAGCTAGGGAAGATGCCTCATGTTGCTCTATCGGAATTCGCCAAAGTATATGGCCCTCTCATATCCTTGAAGCTCGGCACTCAGCTCGTGATCGTGGGGTCGTCACCAGCTGTAGCCAAGGAAATTCTTAAAGAGAAGGATCTTTTGCTGTCAGCTCGATATGTCCCTCATGTGATGCCAGTTGAGAGATCGAAGCTCAGTTACATATCGCTCGGATGGTCTCCGAAATGCGGGATCGGGTGGAAGTATTTGCGAACAATATGCAAAACTGAGCTTTTCTCAAGGAGCGCCATAGAGTCTCAAACACGTGTTCGAGAGAAAAAGGTCATGGAGATGGTGGAACTGATCAGTTCGAAAGAGGGCGACGTAGTGAATATTGGAGAAGTTGTTTTCGCGACTGTACTCAACATGCTGAGCAACATTCTTGTCTCTAAAGACTTCATAGAGTTTAAGAATGGGACGGTGGATGGAGAGATGAAAAATCTCGTCAGGCAGATGATGGAGGTGTCTGCTATGCCGAATATTTCGGATCTTTATCCGATCTTTAGTGGATTGGATCTCCAGGGTCTACAGAGGAAATCGAAGGAGCTGACAATGAAGATGAACGAAATGTGGACAGCCATTATTGAAGAACGGCGAAACCGGAAAGGAAAAGAGGGCGATGAAGCAGCACAATCAGACTTCTTGGACGTTCTCATTGAAAACGACTTCACCGATGAAGTAATCAACCAACTGTTCATGGTAAGAGCTTTATAAGGGCCTAAAGAGCAAAAAAAAAGTACATATGAGCTGCAGTTTTCCACTTTCAGATATCTGAAGCCTCTTATCCTGTTTTTTAGTTCAAATTTACATATGACAGTTGACAAGTACTGAATAGGAAAAACTTAGAACTCAAGGGCCATACTAAAAATTTGTTGTCTTGTGGAGTATTTGATGTCATAACAAGAATAAGGTTATACTTTATTACCCTTCATAAACATTCATCATTGTAATATACCTTTGAGCACTTCACATGACAATGTAGACAATTTTTCTACCGGTTCTTCTGCTTCAGTCGCCAATAGTCATATTATATATTACTTAAGGAGCTACCTGTATAAAATCCCAAAAAGAGGCGGAGCTACTTGCAGTGAAACCGTACAATTAAGTCCTCAAGGATTAAAATAGGAGAATTAGCTATAAATATGGGAAACAAATTTCTAAATAACTAAAGAATCACAAATCAATTCCTGACATCATATCTGACTGGAAAAATGATTATCGAGGGACTAGCTGTGCATAGGCGTTGCTTCAAGCTTCGCTTATTTGTCAAATGAAATTGGGATTATCTTTGGCATGCTTGTTTCATTGTCGGAATACCATGTTTCCAGTTTTAGAGTCTATTCAGCATGTACAATGGATTGAGTTGATTCTGCTCTATATTGCAGGAGCTTTTCACTGCCGGAACAGACACCAGTAGCACAACAGTTGAATGGGCAATGGCAGAGCTGATAAGAAACCCAGAGTCCATGGATAAAGTTCGAGAAGAACTCGCAGAAGAAATCAACCAAGACAAACCAAAAGAATCCAACCTATCCAAATTTAAATACATGAAAGCTTGTGTCAAAGAGACACTGAGGCTACACCCACCAGCGCCATTGCTCCTGCCTCACCGTGCTCCTCAAGCGTGCAGTGTGATGAATTATTTCATCCCTAAGAACTCTCAAGTACTAGTCAACATATGGGCGACTGGGAGAGACCCTACGATTTGGAAAGATTCATTAGAGTTCAAACCAGAACGGTTCATGCAATCGTCCTTGGACTTCAAAGGCAAACACTTCGAGTTTTTACCTTTTGGCGCTGGAAGAAGAATGTGCCCCGGACTGCCAATGGCTGCTAAGCAGGTTCCCCTAGTTCTCGCTTCCCTGATTAAGTTCTTTGATTGGACACTTCCCCATGGAACCGAAATTAGCAAGTTAGATATGACGGAAAAATTAGGCATCACTTTGCAGAAAGCACAGCCTCTGTTCCTCATTCCTAAGGTTAGAAAATGAGGATCAGCATACTGTTGTTTAATTATGTGTGATGCCAAATCTCCGCTTCCTAAGATTCTATCAGCCTGCCTTCATAGAAAAATGTAAAAGTAAAAAGGAGGCTGTCTTTGTCCTCCATGTAAACATCAGAGGAATTCGTCGTCAAGACATTTTAATGTGCAACTATAACCTTGATCAGTGTAGTTTCGTCGGCGAACTCATCCCAAAATCGCAGCGGCAGGAGATCAAACAAGATAATAAGTGTACAGATTGTATGAATATGGATGATAAGCACAAGAGAATAATTCCACTGCAAACAGTATTCTGAAAATTACAGACTCATGACTCTTGACTAGAGCAAATTGATTGACACAATGTGAAAGATTTTCATCGTACATAAAGAATCAAAATACTCGACACAAAATGACACCAAACAGCTAACAATGTAAACCCGGAATTTCTACAACGAATGAACTTTTGATCAGTATTGAGCTACTCATATAATGCTAGTATCCCGAAGACAAATCTTATCTGCAGCAAAAGAATGAAAGAATGACGAGTCTTCCTCTACCTACAAAGAATTTCATAGTCATCTATGTGCGGAAAGAATGGAAGTTAATGGTTTGCATGGTGATAAGAAATGGAGATCAGTTCGGCTGAGAAAAGGAGGATGAGCTGCCTGCAACATCAGCAGGTGCCCATGCCGAGACTGTATAAAGAGGCTGATCCTGCCAACTCAGAGTAAGCGCTGCTCTCTCTTGCCCGCACTCGCTGACAATAAAATCCTCATCGGCGTCGTACATCTTCAACAGCATCTGGCTTTGAATTCTCTCTCTTTCGGTAGTTTCCAAGCAACGGAATGCTCCTTGCTCCATCAATTTCCTCCAGTCGTCGAAACTCTGGTGCCTTTCCAATCTGTCGCTTCCTTCACAAGCGACAATATTTCTGATTTCCCGGGCAAACATCTCCTCTATCTTAACCCTGGCCGCACTCTCCAGGGGAAGGCTTGAATGAACTGAGTCAAACAATGCTGAATAGTATCTCAATGAATTGATGACTCTCACTTCCAAGCCGCTGGTATTATGATGGGCTTCTTGCTCTGCCATTAGGAGAACCACTGGGTTCGTGCTTCGTATCAATCTGAGAAAGTCCCTGAGTGCTCCTCCACTGCCATCATAAAGC